TGTTTTAGCTGGCATCAACGGCTCGACCATTGAAGGGAGGCCAGTATTTAAACAAGACTTAATTTTCTAATTATGAGTGGTTGTTTGTTTCGTGAGCAATAAAATAATTTAAAAATAATTTTTAATGATACAATAGCGACGATTATTATTTTAAAAAAAATTTGTTAGGCTAAACATCGATGAAAATTCAACACAAAGTTGGTTAATAGCGATATACTAATAAACTAATTACATGGGATATACTAATATCCTAATATACTATACTAATAATGTATTTTTTTCCTTCTTTTCGGTTATTCAATTTTTCAGTTATCCAACCAACCTGAGTCCCCAATTGAGTCAGATAATCGATGCTCTACTGTAGAATTATATTAATTCAATTAAAATAAATTTTGGTTTTTCAACTTTCATTTCCTTTTTATTATTTCATCTTCTGAATATTGGTTACAAAATATTGAAAATATTTAACATTGCATTCAAATTAATTTTATATGTTACAGCTAGTAATTTTACAGTGTACAGTAATTATACTAATCACAAATTCATGTATTAACATATAGGTCATTTGAAAATTGATTTCAACTTACAAAAATTACATGAGAATTAATGAAGACTTATTTGCTATGATAGTATAATAAAATATAAAAATATATCTACTAATTAACAGTCATTTAATTCAAAAAATCAATATGAAGTCCATTTAGTAGCTCAAATAAATAAACTTTTGGGCTAGTAATGTAATTTTTACATCTTACAGTAATTAATATGTAATTTTAAGTTTAATAAATTAAAAATTTCAAAAACATACTGAAATATTTATGAATACCTTTTGATCATATATTATCTTGATAAAATATTCTTGAAATTTATTAAGCAGTTTTATTTTGGCATTAAACATTGAACTGATAATATCTAAATCATTTGTAGTTATATTTCTTCAACAGATGCAGAAAATACTAAACTCATCATTATTGATATTTAAATATAATCAAATAAAATATCTGATGTATAATGTGCTACAACTAAGCTTTACATATTTTATTCCTATGAATTATCAATCAAAAACATTTTTATTTCAAACATTTATATAGCTTATTTGTTAGTATATTTTTATACTGCTACATTAACTAGTTGTATCAAACTGAATAATAATTATTTGTGTATTTAATATATTTCCATGATAATGACATGTAATTATCTGAAATGACATTTGATATCATCATCATAATGCTATTCAAACACAGATAAATAGCATGAAGAGATAAATATCAATTCATGCTGTTGAATTAATGAATAAATGTAGCATGAATAGGTTTAGGTCTGTCAATAGTATTGATAATATATATCTGTTTCATGTCACTTTTATTCATTAATTGATGACACTATCAATTTTAAAAAACTGCAGAAGTTTGTAAAATAATACTTTTATAATTAATAAAATAAATAATTATGAAAGATTTTAAAATGTAAAAATTTGCATTGTTACCGTATTTACTCGCATATAAGATGAGGTTTTTATTCATTTTTCACTGCTTCAAAAACCTAGGTCATTCTATACGTGTGAGTGAAGGATTCTTTTTGTCTTTGCAATTAAATTTGTAAACTGCATATTTGCATTTTTTACTGGATTCGATGAGAATCCAGTAAAAAATGTCTTCTAATCCATCTTCTGATGTTTAAAAACAAAAGTATTTTATCTGGATTGATTTAATTAATCGTTCTTGTGTATTGTCAGGAGTAAAGATGAATAGCAATAAGAAAAGCAAAGCTTTTGAATTGAATTCCAAAATTACACAGGAACCCAATATAAGTTTTAATCCATTCCCATGTGAAAACAGATTATTATTTGGAAATCAGAATTCAGAGAAACTCATAAATATAATCGATGAAGAGTGAATTCGACTGTTAAGAATTGGTAAAAAAGGTTTCCGATTTTCCAGCTTTACATGAACAAATTATGTTGTCGATTTTACAACTTTTCCTTAAAGTTTAAAATGCCAGTAATTTTTGTGGGACAATGTATGCATTTATGCACATTTGATATTTTATTTGTGATTAAATGAAATAAAATTAGAATTGTATTAATAAATCTAATTTTGTTTATTTTGCTCTTTAAAGTAGCACCTAGTACTATATGCGAGATTGTCTTATATGCAAGTAAATGTGGTATATCCAATTTATTCATATAATTTTATAAAGATTTTAATATATTATTTCTTATATATTTGAAGAAAGATACAGATTAATATTTAACCAGTTTTTATTAGTTTTATCAACTTAAAATATGATTATTTTGCACATTTTATTTCACTTTAATATCAATTCATTTGAAATATTTTGTAAATCTATCCAAAAATTAAACAGATAAAAAATTGAAAAATAGCAGATTTAAATTAAAACTTGTCAAATATTAACTGCAATCAAGAGAAAAAACATTTTAATACAGTATTTAAAATTTTCTTACAATGCAAAAAATATTCTGTAATATACACATCTTTTAAAAGTAAGATGAAAATTCAAATGTAAAAATATACCTGTTGTTTCATCAATCTTATCTTCGCTGAGTTTTTCTTGTGTTTCAGATGAATTCTAACATAAATCAGATTATTACTGAGTAAATAAAAATTTATTATAATTCAGATATAATACAATTGTCTAATATTTTCTTATTTAACATTGTAACAATTCAAATCTGCCTTCAATTTTACTGATACTGTAAATTATGAGCTGTACTTTTATGAATTAAATAATATCTGTTATTTAGTCCCATATTCAATGTAAAAACTTTAATTTTCCAAAGCATTTCATTTGAAAGTACTGTTTATTTTATAGGATTATTCATTTTCATGTTAAAACATATTGTTATAAGATTGAGTATGTTTTAACATACTCAACTTTGTAACAAACAGATAACTTTTTACATTTAATAACAAAAATTTGAAGAAATTGTGTAATATAATAGATTTGTTCAATAGAAAACACTTTTAAATAAGATAATCAACAAATATACACCATGATGAACATAAAAATGTAACTCTTAAAACTTATAATTTTATAAAATTTTGAAGAATTAATTTAAGTAACTAAATTTAAAGCTAAGATTTATTAATATTTTTCACACTTGCAATATAGAATATAAAAACAAGCATACACAAAAAAATTTGAGTATGCTTGAATGTTTTTAATTTTCAGCACTATTATATTTATCGTAAATAGCCTGCAAATTACAATAAACTTTATATTAGTAAAAAATTTTCATGTATTCATTGCTTGTAAGAATGAATTCTTTTTATAAATATAATGCAAATTATCAGAATAAAATATTAATTCTTATACTTTTTTCAGCAGTTTTCTTAGGTTTTATTTCTTTTATTAAAAATTTTAAAATATTAAAATTAAAATAACAATTTCTAGCAAAACCCATGTCTTATAATCCAAAAGTTAAACCAGAAACCAGAATATAAAACATAAACTAATATTGCTGACAATTGTTTAATTTTTCTAAATACTCTATCTAATAATTATAAAATTTTAATTCAAATAATAACTTCAAAATGGCATTTTTTCATAAATTATATTAATTAATAATCAAACCTGAGAAAAGAGAATAGAAACCACAACTAAGAATTTATAATTAATCTTAAATAAAATTGTCTAACTGAATCTTTTTTCTTTCAGAGGTCAATAAATTATAAAAAGGAGGTAAAAGAGGATGAAGGAATAATACAAATATAATTCAATTTCACAAATGAAACAGAAAAGTAATGATTCATATATATATAAAATTCTGCAAGATGCTGACATATTATAATATGAATACAAACATCTTTATTATTAAAAATGACTTAATACTGAAATGATAAATAAAAAATAAGGTGAATAATTCTAAAAACAAAAAAAATTTCCTTTAAAAACCTGTTACAGAAATTTTCAGATCTTCATCACATATTTCTTTATAAAATTATAATTTTCGTTTTTTATTAATACAGTAGACCCCCTATAGCACGACAGATATGTTCCGTGTTTTATGAAATTCAAGTTGTATGAGTCCTTAAATACATGAGCCAATCACAGCCCAGCTTATATGCAGTTTACGGACTACGGCTGTTTGAAAGGTTTTCTTCCATAAAATTAATCGATTCTAGACTAATTTGACTCAGCATTTCCAAAAAACGTATAATTTTTTGGAAATAATCCATATAAACTATGCTATAAACAAAAAATTGTAGGATTACTTACCAAGTGTGCACTGTTTGATGACGTCATTGCTTAAGCTTGTTTTCATCGTGGAGCAGCACATCAAATGGTGGGCGCATATTTCCTGATAAATTATTTTTCTACGAAAAATTTGCTGAACTCTAAAGATATCATTAATATAAATATAATTTTTATGGCTGTTAAAAAAGAAATGGTTTTTAGTAGTTCTGCTGCTCGTTTAAACTCAACAGTTTGTGCAATATCTGCTATTGGTCTAGATTCAACCAATCCTGTCGCGACACAAGTCGGTGATGACGTTTTACCGTATCATTTTAGCGTGTTTATACGAATACAATTGCAATTTTTCACCATTATATACGAATCCATATTTTATGAACCCATTTTATAGGGGAGTCTACTGTATTTAACTTTTTAAAAATAAGTTGGCCATTGTTATTTTGCCAATATTTAAAACATTCTAAAATTATAATCCTTTTGACAACAATAAAATTATTCTTAGAACAATAATCTATTTGTCTTATTCATTAAACAATGAACACTTTTAAATAAATAAAAAAAAAAGCAACACTGAACAAACTATAATATAATAAAAACATTGTTAAAAACAATACAAGTAGCTTCATCAACTTATTTCATGTTATATCAATTTGTTAAAAGTAAACTAAGAAGGAAAATGCTTTCATCAATTTTAATAATGTATGACTAATTAATACGTCATATAAATTTCCAAGTTTTGTAGGCAGATTTAATTTCTCTTACATTATTAAATAAGAAAGGCATAATAATCCATAATTACTACTTGCCTCAACATTATTTAACATTTTATCTTGTGATTTCAATAATACTTGCAACATCCCAGGATTTTTTACTACTTCCATAGTTTGTTTTAATAACTCTGTATTGTTTAGTGATTTTCTAACTTCTGGATTTCTCTATTAAAATAAAGTTTTTTCTATTATTTACATGAAGTTTTTTCTATATAAAATTTTCATATTGATGAATACACAACTTTATTATGTATTTTACATTTTCATTAAACAAAACTAGTAATCAAAATTACTTACCAACATTAACTCTTGCATCTGAGAATTGCTAAAAATTAATTGCTTCATATATTCTGGATTGGACATCAAACTTTGCACAAAAGGATTTTCTACAATTTGCTGTAGAAGCTCAGGATTGTTCATCAGCTATTTATTATTATAGATCAGTAAAATAATATTAAAAAAAAAAATAATTTATTTTATTATATATAATGAAAAATATAAAAGTCCAGTCAAACAAGAGCAAATCTATCATTTACTAAAAGAATGATAAATGCTAACTAAAAACACTTACAGAAGCACTTCCTTCTGATTTACAACTCTAGTTTCCAAATGCCATGTCAACAAAAAAGAATTTAAAAGTCTTAAAGTGAGAAGAACAAAGTGTATAGCTTCTATTATATTTTGAACTAAATCTATTGAACATGTGTTCATATGAAATATTTTGTGTATTTATCTTTAATGTTATATCATTGTAAATGAATTTTAAACATGTATGAGACAATTTTCAATGCTTTAGATATCTTCATACATATATTTAGATAATTGTAGAAATTGAGAATTACTTTCATGTTGAAAAATGATATTTCAAGCATTTCAACATGACTAAAAATGTCAAGAAAACTTATAAAAATGTGTAGTCAGTCTTTTGGTTTTCTAACATGGATTACATTTCATTATATAGTTGTTTTCATATGTATGTTTATAATATACACACATGCATGTACGTACACACACACACACACACACACACGAACAATAAAGAATTATATATATCAACATTCCAAAGCCTGATATCTTGATACTTAAACAATTGCTGTAATTAATTGGGCTAAATTATTTAATAAATTATTATAATCATTAATTTAGATAAGAGATGGCACTTAACATCTACTCTAGTACCAAATTACTTAGTTTCTAATTATTAATTATAGCATTATAACAGCCCAATAAATTACAGCAATTGTTTGGCTTAGCATCAATAAAGAATTATTTTACAAAGACTGTAAATTGATACCTTACTTCAAAAATCACTTTAATGTGTGAAATATGTTTGAAAAACTTTACTAAAGTTTTCAAGATACATATTTACATTCTGATATTTTTTGCTTGTAGAATTTGTTCTTGACTTAACTTTTATATTTACCATATATTTGGATATAAAAAATTTTATATATAATGTATATCTCACTTGATTTTGCATCCTTTGCTGGAGTTCCATAAAATTAGCAGATCCCATTCCAAGATTATTAAGTCCTGAAAGTCCACCTACTGAATCCAGTCCAAATGGAGCAGCAGTAAAGATTGACGAAGTCATCTACTCATTCATTATCAAAACAAAAGACAAATATAAAATATTTTATAATTTGTAATTTAAGAAGTTTTATGAAAAATGAAATCATAGAATATAGTAAGAAACAAAATGTTTATTATTATAAATTTTGAATTTAACTTACTGCACAAGCTTGTTCAATTTGTTCTTGGCTCTGAAAAAAGTGATGTTTTGAATGATATTTCCAGATTATTTTTATAAATTAAATGCTATAAGAAAGTAAGAAAAAGCTAAAAAATCTGATTTAATTTAATTAAAACAAACTTTGATGTTCTAGAAATACAAAATTAATTTTTTATACCTTAAATGAAAGTCATTAAGAAACAGTAATTAGGAAAAAAAATAATATAAATCTTTATTACCCTAACAGCAGTTTTTGTCACTACATGAATGACACAACCTTCTTGAATTCCTTTTAAGAAAAATAAAAACAAATAAATTTTAATATTTAAAAAAAAATGCATGTTTACAATCTAATTAATAATATTTCTAATTTTAATGCATTATTTATTATTATACAAATTATTCTATTCCAACTTTTAAATATTCAAACTAAAAACAGAACTGTTTTATTCAGAGAATTTGCACATTATCATACTTGTACATGTTCAGAACCAAGTGCTTTTATAGCTGCAGTTCATCATCACACTCGAATTTTTAGAGTTCAGTTAGTATTATATTCTTAGTACTAACTGAAATATGAAACTTTTTAGAAAGTGGTGAACCCTGAGAGGGACTGCAGGTCTGAACAGTGATGCCAGATTGGGCTACAAGTAGCGGATTGGGCTACTTTTTAAGTGCCCTCGCTACAAAAATTTCAAATTGGGCGACACGCTACTTTTTGGGCTAGTGATAATTATCTTCAGGCTACAAATCTTAAAAATACGCTACTTTTTTTTATTTTCATATATAAAATCGCAAACGCTTATTGTATTATACAAAAGTAATAAAGTTTTATTTAATTTCATTACACTTAAGTATATAAATAAAGTTGCAACGTTTAACAAAGATTAAGATACTTTGCTTTCGTTTTCCATCAGTCGTTCGCTCCAGTAGACAATCCACAACTTCACAAGCACGGAGGCGACATTGCTTGTGAAATTGTGGATTGTCTACTACAAGCATTATGCTGTTGGAATTGCCAATTTTCTCTCCCAATAAGTGATCCAAAAGTTATTAAATTTTGATACAACAGTTCTTGATACAATGGAAAAGGATGGCCTTAAAACTGAAAAGAAAAGCCGCAGTCGCTAAGTCTCTAAGTTCAAAAAATGAATCGCTTCGCCTGCGAATGACTCGCTTTGATTTAGAGAAAATTGATGCAGATACACCGAATGTCCATATACAGGGTGTATCAGAATGACGTTTTAAAAATTTGGGGGATTGTAAAGGATGAAATTTTGAACGTTTTGGTATAAGGAACCTATAATCGGAAATTTGAACTAAAGTGTCTACAGCGGTAGGAAGTGCTTGACCGCCCTTCACTTTGGTAGCTACCCTTCCATCCATTGACGTCATGTTATTGCTGCGGATGAAAGACTGTAAACACACAACTACAGTGGTCTAACTGAGCCTGTGTACAGGACGTTGTGTACTCAGTGCTTGTCGTTCTTCAGGTCACCCCTTGCATCCACTGGCGTTGTGATGTAAACACACAGCTAGTCAACGTGAGTCCCTTGTGTACGCAACACCTGTAGGAACAGTTCATAAGCTTACGGAGCGCATCTTTACAGCATTTAATACCATCAGAGGGGAGCGTGGCATCTTACGGAGAGTCGGACAAAACATGGTTCGTCGTTGCACATTATGTAACGAAGTTGGTGGTCGTCACACTGAACATTTACTCTAAAGTAGTGCAGCCACTGATTCGATGTACAGTTTGATTGTACTCTACTGTTTTGTCAATAAAACTTGTCATAAATACTGTATTCTGCTGTTTCATTCAGCATACCGACCTCATAGAACGTGCAAAGTGCAGTAGAAACTTTATACGTATCTCATTTCCGGCTGTAGGTTCCTTATATCAAAACGTTCAAAATTTCATCCTCTACAATCCCCAAATTTTTAAAACGTCATTCTGATACACCCTGTGTATGTATATACATATATTACAAACTTATTTCATTAGTAAAAGTGCATAGTTGCAAAATAATTCATTTTTATTGTTTGGGCTACAAACAGTTCAAATCCGCTACTTTTGGAGCACAACCATGCTACTTTTTAACCTTCAGATCCGGCAACACTGGGTCTGAAAGCACTTTGTTCTGAATATATAAAGCATGATGATGTATAAATTCTCTGAAAAAAGCAGTTTTGTTTTCAGTTTGATTATTATTTTAACACTTTTGCAAATAGCAATTTTTATAGAATTATATGTGATGACACAAAATTGAGTCACTAGCACCTACTCAAAGACATAACTGATGAAAAATCATTATAATTAAATATGTCCCAGAAAAGTAAGAAACCAAGCAATAAAATGTAATCTCTAAAATGTTTCTACAAAAAAAAAAAAAAAAAAACAGGTGAAATTTAACAAAAACTTTCAGTGTCTGAATGACACAAAATCATCACATCAACACACTGTAATTGAAGGTCACATGATGCAAAATCATGTCAACTTGCAGGAAAGTTATAAAAACAGTTACTTAGGACTAATGAACAGACTTATTATACTCCCAGTGTATTTAATTAACTTTTCCAAAATTTTGGCCTTACTGACCCTTTTCAATTGGATAACATACAAAAAACACAGTCTATAGTGACTATTTATTATGATGACAATTTTGAATGTTATTCATGCAAAAGAATAATTGTAATAGAAATAGTATTCATAATTGTAATGGAATAAGTTTTCTAAAACAATTCAAACAAGAACAAAATTTAAGAAATGGAAATTCAGCTAGCATATCCTACAAATGTGGTGGAGACAGAAGAAAAGAAAATAACCACAACCGTAAAGAAGATAAAAGGACTATTCCCAAGGATTTTTACTGGACTTGTATAGTATTGTATTGTTACTGACCTAGATATAACTTATAATCCTAATAATAATTTGTAACTATTGTACTTCTAAGATATATTGTAATGTTGGCAATAGTCACTATAGCAATTGAAAAGGGTCAGTAAGGCCAAAATGCATTTGGAAAGGTTAATTAAATATGCTGGGAGTACAATAAACCTGTTCATGAGTCCTACGAAACTATGTTTTTGTAATTAGTTAATATAGGCAAGAAGCTTTTTATTATATTGCAGAAAAGTGTTAATTGTTTACTTTCAGCTCTTTCAATAAATTTAAAGTAACGTAGTATAAAATTATAAATTATATTAGTAAAATATTTCCTCAATATATAGCAAATTGATAATTTAAAATAAATTTTATTATACATATTTACCATTAGAAACAAGATTTCCATTATCATCTAAAAGCTTCCCTCCAAATATCACACATAATTGATCGGTTGGCAAATTGCACTCTTTAGAAATTTCCTTTTTTAACTAATAAACAAATAAAATTAAGTGCATCACTACTAAACAAAGAATTTCATTATATAAAAATTATTGATTTATTAATTAAAATAAAAATGTACATTTAATTAATTAAAAGCTTATCATCCTTAAGATTTAATTCTAATATACGGTTATTAAGTTCAAATTGTTAAATGTATTAATTTGACAAGATATTCCATTTTAATTATGTAATTTTCAAATATTATATTTCACTGCCTTGTCATTTATTCTATCACATCAAACTACCATTTGATAAATAACATATTTTCAATTGCAAACATACATTTATATTTTCAAATTTCTAAAAACATTATAAGCACATAAAGCATAAGCAATCACCTAGTCCAATTTATTAATATTAAACCAAATATCTAATTACCAGAGCTACATATGTGTTACAAAAACAATAAAATCATATAATTAAGTATTTGATTTAAGGAAATAAAGCAATCTATTGACAAATTTTGGAATGCTAATCCAACTTCCGTTCTATAATTTTAAGCATAATCAATTAATTTTAACAAATATTTGCATATTTTTTTAATATTAAATCTTCCTGAAAAATAATATTTTGTGCTAAAAATAAGATTTTTAAATCTAATGAATAATTTGAAGAAATTATTAAATTAAATAAATTTTTTGTTATAGTAAAAAACTAAAATTATAACATTAAATGGAAAAATAATATGATGATTATAATTATATTGGCTACTGTCAATTGCCAGTAGCCATACAAACAAAATGGATAGAACTTTAAGTGTATTGTAAGTTATATGTACCGTACAGTATATATATATATATATGAATAAATAATCTAAAATTAACTCTACCCATAATGTATGTTATAATGTTATTTGACAACATTAATAATCAGTATTTAATTGATATCCATAAAAGATAAATTTATATTGTAATATACAATAAACTTGTAAAATAAATCATGACATTTATAAATATAAATGTTAATAATTTTCTTACAATTATATAAAAAAGCAAATATTTTAATAAAATGATTAAAAAGTAAATATTTTTTATCATTCAATACATTCAGATTTAATGCTTTCAATTTTTAAAATAAAATTTCCGAAAAGAAAAATCACAAAGAAATTTAGTATTTGAAATTATGTAATAATGTCTTTGTTTTTTTTAAAAATGTTTATATATGTTTAAGTATTTTATATCTTTAAAAGCACAAAACTTTAACAAATCTCATTGCGACATCTTTTTCTCATCACCGTACACAATAAAAAACAGTTTCAAATGTAATTTGTAATATCGGATCCGGGAAAAATAACAAAAGCTATTGGATTCAAACTAATATATTTGTTATAAATCAAATTCAGAGTTTTATAATGGAGGTATTCAACCATAAAAATGAGAAAACCTAAATTATCATATTAGAATGGATAGGGGAGGATTTCAGAACAATGATAGAAGTAGAATGGATTAGAGAATAACTGAGTCAGACTTTCTAACAATCCATTTCTACAAAAGTGGATTTTACTACAGATTTCTATCAATGGACTTTATTCATTCATCACAATCCAAATCTCAACCCACGTGATATTAAATACTACAAGTATACAAGATACTTTATTAAAATCTGGTGTCAGCCAATGTTCTTGCACGTGTGTTCCTGCTTAAAAATGGATAATCGCATCAGATAATTTACAGTACACAATGCAGCATACATGCTGTAAGCACATTAAATATTAAATTATCTGCACACGTTTCCATTTAAAATTGATTAAATAACGTAAACTGTAAAGTAAATTTTACCTCTTCTACAGAACTGTTATATTTAACATTCAAATTATGCTTATTACCATCGATTTTAATAGAAACATCGATGGTTCTCTCGTCGCTATTGTCTGCCATTTTACCTTGACTGTAACTGCCGCCAATCGATGTCGCTGCAGTTGCTGCATCACTACAGAAGTGCAATAACCTGTTTTTTTTATTATTTTTTATTATAAAAAAATAAAATAAATAAAATAACATATTATTAATAT